CACCACTGATCACAGGCCTCCAGTTCAAAAAACCCTCCAACACCACCACCTACGGTCTCCTCCCATAAAGCCAATTGTGTACCCAATTGGCAAGCTCACCCTGAATCCAATGTGATCTAACTTTACTAATTAGTCTATTCTGTGGAACCTTATCAAGGCTTTACTAAAGTCCAAGTAAACAACATCTACTACTCTACGTCCATTAATTTTTTTTGGTTACTTTATTAAAATAATGAAGTATAATAGACATGATTTTCCTTGCACCAAAACCATGCTGACTATCCCTAATCAATCCTTGCCTCTCCAAATGCATGTAAATCCAATCTTTCAGAATCACCTCCAATAACTTACCACTACTGATGTCAGACTCACAGGACTATAGTTTCCAAGTTTCTCCTCACAGCCTTTCTTAAGCAATGGCATGACATTAACCACCCTCCAGTCCTCCAGTACCTCACCTGTGTTTATAGATGATACAAATATTTTTGCTAGGGGCCCTGCAATTTCCTCCCTAACTTCCCACAACATCCTGGGATACACTTGATCAGGTCCTGGAGATTTGTCAACCATTATGTTTTCTAAGACCTCCAGCATTTACTCTTCTGTAATAAGAACTGTTTCCAAAACATCGAAATTTATTTCCCTGAGTTCTGTAGCTTCCATTTCTTTCTCAACAGTAAACACTGATGCAAAACATTCATTTAATATCTCTCCCATCTCTTAAGGTTCAACCCAAGGACAACCTCATTGTTCTTTAAAGGATCCTGCTCTCTCTCTAGTTGTTCTCTTGGTCTTAATGTATTTGGAAAATGTTTTTGGATTATCTTTCACCTTATCTGCCAAGGCTATATCATATGCCCTCTTTGCCTTCCTGATTTCCCTCTTAAGAATGCCCCTACATTCTTTATACTCTTCAAGGTATTCAGTTGATCCCAGTTGTCTGTATCTAATATATGATTCTTTTTTATTCTTGACTAGAACCTCAATATCTTTGTTCATCCATTTTTTACCAGCCATGCCTTTCACTCTAACAGCCCCTGAACTCTCATTATCACACTTTTGAAGGCCTCCCACTTGTCAGTCAGCCCTTTACCTAGGAACAGTCTACTCTAGTCAACTTTTGAAAGTTCTCGTTTCATACCCTTAAAATTTGTCTTGCTCCAATTAAGAACTTAAACTTTTATGGAAGACTTATCCTTTTCCATAACTATTTTAAGAGTAAAAGTATTATGATCACTAGTTCCAAAGCATTCCCCTATTGTGTCAATCAAATTGTGAAATAGTAGGCGCAGCACTATGGTAATGGAAGGCTGATAAATCAGTCATGCCGCACTAATCTAATAATGATAACCTTCAGGCTTACATCATACAGTGTATGAACGAGCAAGCATACTTTTTTCTGACACTCCAGATGTCTTTAAAAAGTGTTTTAAAGTGTGTGACTTTTAAATGCCTTTAAAGCTTGGCAGTTGCTTTTGACACTTAATGAATACTCTGACAGTTCCTTTTGATACTTCTGACAGTTATTTTTGAGATTTTTTTTGACACTTTGACAATTAATTTTGATAGGTCTATTAACTGTTTGCATCTGTGCACTTTTATATGCATTCATTTCTACTTTTACCAATCACAAAGGGCACCTTACCTCTCCTAAATGACACTGACCTGCCCCAGTAGTGTCCCAGGACGTAAGGCTACCTTTGCTCTCCAAAATGATAAAATAAAAGAAAGAAATGGGGATGTTAGAGATCTGAAATAAAAACAGAAATTGCTGGTGAAATTCAGCAGGTCTGACAGCAACTGTGGATGGAAAGCAGAGCTAACATTTTGGTTCCAGTAGCTCTTCATCATAACTGATAGCAGCAAGGAAAACTTGGTATTTATGCTGAAGATGAGGTTGGGGGTTTGGGGGAGATATGTGCAGATAGGTAGAGTTGGAGCCCAAACAGAGAGATATGAAAAAGGTAGGCAAACAACATTGATAATAGGCCAGGACAGAAGAGAAGCTGAATAAGTGATCTTGAGAGTAGGAGAGAATGGGTAGGCTGTGCTAAAAGCAACCCATGTCATAACAAGACCGGGTTTGGTGTTGGGTGAAAAACGTGGAAGGATGGAATCAAGCTGTAAAGTTAGTGAACTCAATGTTGAGTCCTCGAGGCTGCAGGATCCTTAAGCGGAAAATAAAGTGCTGCTCTTTGAGCTTGTGCTGAGGCTCGCTGGAACATTGCAGCAGGTCTGCAAAATAAATATTGGCATTTAAGGGAGATATGCATGGAAAGTTTTTTACACAGAGGGTGGTGGGTGCCTGGAACGCGCTGCCAGTGGAGGTAATAGAGGCAGGCACAATAGCGTCATTTAAGATGTATCTAGACAGATACATGAATGGGCAGGGAGCAGACTGATACAGATCCTTGGAAAATAGGCGACAGGTTTAGATAGAGGATCTGGATCGGTGCAGGCTTGGAGGGCCGAAGGGCCTGTTCCTGTGCTGTAATTTTCTTTGTTCTTTGTTCTTTAACAGTGATGTGTTGAAGTGGCAGACAACTGAAAGGTTTGGGGTCATTTTCAGCATACATACCATTTTTTGCCAACTGCTAACAGTTCTGATGAAGAGTCATGGGACTTGAAATGTTAACTCTGCTTTGCCTTCAAAATAGTACCCCTCATCTCCAACAATTCTGTAAAGTTCAGTCTTACTCCTGTCAGGTCTAATCTATGCATATTGTGTTTCAGACACAACATTGAATCACCAAAATCACACACTAGTGGAAGCAGCTGCTGGTTTACATGGGTAGCTGCTGCCACAAAAGGCACATGTGTGAAGTACGACCCACTCCCGATCCCATCCCTACAAAAATCGTGGGTATCATGTTCAGACGTGGGACTTGCAGCTTTTGGCTCTCTCTACCATTTCTGCAATGATTGTCTCTCCATCATTTGTATTGTATTTTATTTGTACCCTATTAGACTTGCACATTCTAAGTAATAAGTGGCCTCCCAATTACTCTTACTGAAATCTATTGCCTCCATTTATATGTGTTCAACTTATTTGTCCATTCTGCAAGTTTGTTTATGCCATTCTTTTGTTTGTTGCAATTCTTCTCAGGATTAACTCTCCCCCTAATTTGTTGTCACCTGCAAATTTAGAAATGCTGTTTTGATTCCAAAGTCCCAATTATTGATGTAATAATGAACAACGCTGATCCTCGTGGAACACCATTTCCCACTTTCTGCCTTTCTGAATAATTACCCTTTACTCCCATTCTGCTTTCTGCTTTGAAACCAACCAGCAATCCGTTACATCTTTATTTCCTGACTTTCCATTGTCTCTGACCTTGTTCAATAGTTTATTAATGGGACACCTATCTAAGGACTTTTGAATATCTAGATAAATTACATCTACTTGACCAATCTCTACAAATAAGGTTGATCAAGCAAGATTTCCCCTTTTAAATCTACACTGACTGTTCATTATTATTTTATTTTTTATTTCTAGCTGTCCCTATATTCTCTCATTTATTGAGGACTCTGATATTTTTCCTATCATTGACATTAAACTAACTGATTTCTAAATCCCTGTATATGTTATGATGTTCCATTCCCCTCTTCTCAATATGTTGGAAATATGTTGGCTATCTGCCAGCCCCCTTTTCCCTAGCAAATTATTAAATATGAGTTGTAATGCCTCTGTTATCTTTTTCCTAGGTTATGTTAAATATGTGGAATCAGTCCATCCACACCAGGGGTTTTATCTTCTTTGGGTTTGCTATTCAATACATCCCCATTTTTATTTTATGTGTATTTAATACATTATTCATCTCATCACTTAATGTCAACCTTTTCTATTGCTATGGTAAATACCAAGGCAAAATATTTTTTAATGTTTCTGCTTTCATACCAGGGGTATTATCCTGTCTATCTCTTAATCATGCTATTCCCATTACAGCGTTCCATTTTTAAGTAATGTACCAGTAAAATGTTTCATGGTGTTCAATGCTCCTTGATAATTTAATTTTATAATTCTTCTTTGCCTTCCTAATTGTGTTTTTAACTTCTCTCCCAATCTCTAAATGTTCACTTATGTCCTTCTCCCTTAATGGATGATTCTTTCCAAACTATCAGTTGTTCCATTAGGTCTTTATTAATCCATACAGTCCCAATTGCATTTAATTTGTTCTTTCTTTTAATGGAATATATTTTTCCAGCACCCTGTGTTTCCCATTGTTGTTTGACATTGTTTGCCAACATTGTTGTTCATTTTACTCTCCTCAGTTCTATTTTCAGCACCTCAAAATCAGCTTTTCCCCATCTTTTAATTTGGTTCTTGTCATATATATGTCCTTCTCCATCATTTTAAAGCAAAATATATTATGTTCACTGTTGCCTAAGTGTCTACAGTATTACTGTTTATGGGGAGAAAAATAATTTAATGGTGAAAAGGTGAATGTGGCTTAAGGGAAGAGGGCGAGAGAAAGAACTCCCAACGATATGCGTCGTTTCATAACCTCACGATGTCCCAAAGCACTTTGCAGACAATGAGATACTTATGAAGTATAATTGCTGTTGTATTGTTGAGAATCAGAGCAGGTAATTTGTGCAGAGCAAGGTTTAAACCAACACCAGTGAGAAAGCCATCACATAATCTGCTTTAGTAATGTGGGCTGAGGGTCAATATTGGCCAGGATACTGAACAAGAGAAAACAATTCTGCATTTCTTTGTAAAATTTGTTTGAAAACATTTTTGAAAAAAATAAAGTTTTCTTTGAAAACAATGTTGAATCTTTTATATTGAATTTAGGGGTCCAATCCTTACTCCCAATCCTAATTCAGGGGTGCTATGCTCACAGTGATGCATCAGATCAGATCAACGCAGCATTTTAACTCCTTCTTATCAACCATTACATCTACAGGCATCTTGCCTTTCATGAGTTTCATTTATTGTAACCATCCTCTATCTATCTATTTTCAAAGATTGTTTCTTGGCTTTGATTTGTGCTCAGATGTCCATGTCACTTGACTTCAGTGTAAATCAGAAACGCCAACTGCGTCCTCTTTGGGCACGTCAAAGTGCGGTGGGGGATTTTAGTTCCAAGGAGGAGGTCAAGGCACAAACTCAGAGTTCTGACTGGAATGCCGGGATTCGCCCTGCGCCAGCTCGACCTGCCATACCAACAATGAGCGAGAAGGGGCAGAAAGCGACATTGCGGACCCAGAGAAGTGTTCCTTGTGAGTAACAATTGTTATTGCATTATTGACCTTTTCACTTGCACTTGAGCAATACTGGTAATAGCAAGTTACGCAACCCAGAACTAGGTTATCAGCAATGGTAATTGAAAGAAAAGAAAGCTCTTGTATTTATATAAGAGAATAAGAAATAGTAGGCCATTCAGCTTCTCAAGTGTGCCCCAAATTCCTAGAAGATCATGGCTCATCTGCCTCAGGCCTCAACTCCTCTTTCATACCAGCTCCTCATAGTCCTCAATTGCTTGATTTTTCAAAAATCTGTCTACGTCCTTTATAAATATTTTCAATGATCTAGCATCCACATCTTTCTGTGGTAGAGAATTTAAGGCATTCACTATCCTGTGAAGGAAGAAATTCCTTTGCATTTCAGTTTTAAATGTTTAAATCTTAAGTGTCTCCTTATTCTGCAACTGTGTCCCCTTAATTGAAAGTCTCCCATTAGTGGAAACATCTTAAGATCTGCCCTTTCGAGCCCCTTAGGACTCTAGTATGTTTTAATAAGATTCTAAATTCTTCTAAACAGGAATGAATAAAGGCTGAACCTATTTAGCCATTCTTAATAAGTCAACTCCTTTATTCCAGGAATCGGCCTGGTGAATCCCTTCTGAATTGGCCCAAGACCAGTATATCCTTTCTTAAATGGACTCCAGGTGCAGCCTCACCAAACTCTGTACAGTTGTAACAAGACTTGCCTAAAATTAAACTCCAACACCTAGCAATAATGCGCAAAATATAATTTGCCTTGCTGCACTTGCATGCTAACTAATTTGTGTTTCACACACAAGGACACCCAGATCCCTCTGTGCTGCACTGCTTTGGAATTTCTCTTTGTTAAGTAATAGCTGATTCTTCCTACCAAAGTACATAACCTCACACTTACCTCAATTAAACTCCCATCTGCAAAACTTTTGTCCACTCACTCAACTTCTTTATATTGCCTTGAAGATTGAGGTCCTAGGACTAATCCTTATAGCACTCCACCAGTTACATCTTTTCAATCTGAAATAGACCCATCAATCCCAACTCTCTTTCTTCAATCATCAGTCCATTGCAATACATTATCCCCAATACAGTTAGCTCCTATCTTGTACTATGACATTTTTTGTGGCAATTATCAAGTGCCTTCTGGAAATCAAAACATGCTACATCTATAAGTTCCCCTTTATCATCACTACTTGTTATGTCCTCAAATAACTCTAGCAAATTTGTAAAACATGATGTCCTTTTCACAAAACCATGTTGACTCTGATTGCATTAAGCTTTTCCAAATATCCTGAAATTTCCTTCTAAATAACCAGCTCTAGTGTTTTCCCAATAACAGATATTAAGCTAACTGGCTGATAGTTCCTTGCTTTCTATCTCCCTCCCTTATTGAACAAGGGTGTCACATTAGCCATTTTCCAATCCACTGGACTTCTCCTGGAATCCATTGAGCTCAGGAATATTTTAATCAATGCCTCCACTATCTCTACAGCTACTTATTTTACAACTCTAGAATGCAGGCCATCAGATCCTAGTGGCTTATATTTCTTCAGTTCTAATAGTTTGTCAAATACCTAGTCCCTCATGATAGAGACTGTTACAAGATCTTTCCTCCCATTAGCACCTTGCTCATCTGATATCTTTGCATATAGTGTCCTTCACCATAAAGACTGATGCACAATATTGGTTTACATTATCTGCCATTTACCTGTTCCCCATTATCTATGGTCCAGTCACATCCTCCGAGAATTCCACAATCGTTTTAACTAGTCTTTTTTTACATATGTAGAAACTCTTGCTGTTTGTTTTTATATTTCTTGCCAGTTCAATTTCATCTCAATTTTCTTGCTTTTTAATAGCTTTTTAGTCATCTTCACGGGAAGTATTTCCAATTCCCTGGCCTACCACTAGTTTACACTGCTTTGGAAATGTGTGTACTGTGCATTGCCTTGGGAATAAATGGAAATGCTGAATTTGTTGATAATCAGCTGGAAATGACCCCTTATTCACTACTTGTTCAATATAAAATTGTATAGATATGAATAAACACATGCATGTCTTAAGTTTTGTCTGAGTTCGAGGCCATGAAGCAATTGTTACTGTACTGGGGAAATGTGCTTCTTTTCTGATGAGGTCAGTGTTAGTATGACAGTAGTATTATTCTTGCTACAAGGTAATGGATTATACAGTCACTCACTTTAAGCTTTGAAGAGGACAAGAGTAATGCGCTCCAGAAAATAGCAAATAACTGTCTTGCTGTGTACTCTACTCTTGCTTTTCCTCCAGCATGCCCACTCTTTGAGAGTCAGCCGTGGCAAATCCCAGCATCAAACAGAGACTCTGATGAAGCAGAATGAGAGGAGAAACCAGCTGGAGCAGAGACAGTAAACCCATCAATGGATCGAGTCAGTTGACACAGAATGGTGAGAAGTTGGTGAACTACACTGAAGGAACACTGAAGGATTGATGTGTTACGACCTCCTTTGATCATAACATGAACTGCAGCACTTTGAAACTCCTGGTTTCATTTTAGTGAAAGTAAAAAACAAATATAAGAACGAAAGACCATATGTCTATGAAATGTTAAATTCAATTTGCTTGCTTCTCTTGCCCCATCTAATGTTGAACTTTGCACATCATCAGATATGTTAGGACAGGGTGCAAAGATAAAAAGACAGGGACTAGAGGGGGGAAATGAAGCCTAATGCAACTGCCTTAACTGGGGGTTTTAGGCAGAGTTAGCTGAGGCCTGAAATCCTCAGGTGGGGAAACTGAGAGGAATGAAATGGCCACAGTAATTTTTTTTTCAACATTGAAGTCTACAATTACTTCCTTCCAGCCACAGAGACCATGTCTTTACACAACATCCAAAGAAGCACAGATTGTGCTGGACTTTTAAAAGTTATCTTAGCTCTACCCTCTGACTGGTATGTTGTGATATAATGGCCAATGGACCAGAGTGAAGGACAAATGATAAAAGTGAGGAAAAATAAATGTGACCCCCCCCATACCCCTCCTCAAACCCCTACTTTCCCCGTCTTCCTCACCACATTGCTAGTAAAAATATTCTTAAAAAGTTCATTTTTAGGATGTGAGCACCCCTGGCAAGCTGCATTTACTGCCCAGCTCTACTTACTGCAATTGAGGGACTTTGAAAAGCCACTAGTTAATTAAGAGTCAAATATTTTGTTGTGGAACTGCAGTTACAGAAAGACTGTATCAGGTAAAGATTGCAGGCTTCCTTCCCTGAAGGACATTAATGAACCAGCTGGCAATCTAGCAGCTTCATTTTTCGCTTTTCACTTCACTTTTTAAAAAAATGTGTTCAAATGCACACAAAACACTGACTGGACTTTAATTTGCATTTTTAAGATTATTATTCCAGTAATTTAATTCAACCATAGCTTGTTAGGATTTATTTTAAATGCTGGAAATTACAGCAGGTCATGCAGCATCCACGGAGAGAGAGAGCAAGCTAACGTTTTGATTCTAGATGACTCTTCATCAGACTTCATCAGTCATCTAGATTTGAAACGTTGGCTTGCTCTCTCTCCATGGATGCTGCCTGACCTGATGTGATTTCCAGCATTTTTGTTTTCAATACAGATTCCAGCATCTGTGGTAATTCGCTGCTAAGATTTATTTATGTACACCTGCATCCCAGGCTGCCATCCAGAGCCATGAGCAATGTTGTTCACCTGTCCATCACTTGAAGAATACTTACTGATCATTGCTTGAGATCACTAATTACCAGCAGTTTGGATAAAGTACCAGCATTTTGTACTGCTGACTAAAGCTCTTCAGTTAGGAGTTACTGGCCACTGGAAGATTAAACGGATTTTGTTCCATGATTATAAAACAAAATGGGAGAGCCTTTACCCGAATTATACCGACACTGTAAAAAAAAGTGAGGAGTATGAACTATGCACGAGGTTGAGTTAACTATGAAAAGACAGGTGAGTGGTCAGTACTTACTGGAAATTTGGATGAAACCTATCAATAACAGCAATTTTCAAATAAATAATATCAAAATGCAGCATCAAGTCATCGAGTGCCAGATTATGTTGACTCAGTAATAGAAACAGCCCAGACACTGATTCATGAGCAGGGAATAAAAGAACCTTTCACAATCTCAGGCCATCCCAAGACACTTTATAGCCATGAAGTCATAAAATATGGAAAATGCTGCAGCCATTGTGTGTATAGCAAGGTTCCTTATAAGAATGTGATAACCATCAGGTGATCTGATTTTTTTTCCCTGATGATCTTGGATTTTGGAATAAATGTTGGTCAAAATAACAAGGATAAAGTCCCCTGCTCTTCAAATAGTGTAATGGATCTTTTTACATCCATCTCAGAGGGGAGATTGAGCCTTGTTTTTAAAATTTCATCTGAAAGATAGCACCTTTGACATTGCAACAATGCCTCAGTGCTGTTATTCTAAATATATTCATATTTGATATTTTTAAATGTTCAACCAACTTCACTTTGTCAAAACTGTTTAAAATTACTTTATTAAAACTAATTTAGATAATTTTTAGAAAGTTTTACATTTTAGTTTAACTCTATAATTTGAAAGTTGAAAGATTTGTAATCTCAGTTTAATGGTATCCTACACATCATTTAATTTTATTTGGTTCTGTTAGGGTGGAGTGCTATGCAAATATAATCAAAGAAGAAAATGTTTAACTATGGAGGAATGCATGTATATTATAATTGAAAGAAAAAACACTCAAAAATGCTGTTTCCTTTAATGCTTGCCTTCTAGATTTGTTAACCGTTCAAATGGCATTGGATGCAGGTACATGTGCTTCGAAAGAGTTCAACTCAAACCCGAATGACCCTCATGAAAAGTGTATAAAACTAGAATATTAGGAATGTATGCAAATACCAAGATATCAGGTGTATCTTTAATATTCTGTATATTGAGATGTTAGGACTGATTTATTGTAAGTACTAGGATCAAGAGCGTCTGTAAACAGGGAGATATTGAGAGGGTCTTTATTGTAAATGCTAAGATATTGGAACTGCTTAAATGGTAAATAGTATGAAATTAGGCATGTTTTTATTACCTAAACATGAAGATATTGGAAGATGATGAATTTCATCATTTCATTATGATGAAACCCAAAGTTCTCCTGGCCTTCCTCCCATTTTATACTTCCCACAACTTTTAACTTATCCAAACTTCTGCTGTCTACACCCTAACTCACAACATGTCTAATTCATTCATCCCCTGTGTTCACTAACTAACTTTTTCCATCAATACTTCAATTTAAAAATTCTCACCCTCACATTAGGATCTCTCCATGGTCTTGACCATCTTCTTTCTATAAAAACTCTTTAAAAATTAGCCATGTACCTCACTGTGAAATTGGTTCCACCAATTCTGCCCTCATGAATTTCCTCCTTTCGCCCCATCATCAGCCATCTCGGCAGTAAACTCTAGAATTCTGAACCCCTCCATCTCTCTCCTTTTAATACACTCCTTAAAACTCACCTTATTAATCAAGTTTCTCATTATCCCTTCTATTTTTTGGTGAGAATTTGTGCTTAATTATACTCTTAAGTGTCTTACTTCAGCCATAGGATAAACTACTTTGATATATTTGTCACTGAAAAACATCTATGAATTGAGCAATGCATCAGGAGGTATATGGGAGCTTTGAAATCTTTGTCAACAAACAAATAGAGAAACGGAGAGATGCACTTAAGCAGCTCTGTCAGAGAGAGGACTTAATAGATCTGGAGCATGCTTCCATTCTGAATCAAAATTGGTAAAAACGGCTGAAAGTGTAGGGAAAAATTAATGGACAGGAACGAATCTGGAAAAACCATTATCTTCCTGCAACACAGGGTAAATAAAGAATAAACTAATTTATTCATAGATTCCTATGTACAGTTTATAATGCTGCAATTTGGTGGTCAAATATACAAACAACATTACAAACATTTTGCTGTTTTGACAATGAAACTAGGTTCTCTTTATTGGTCATGCTCAGTGGTATGGAACTGCATGGAAGCAAGCTGGCTGAAGCAAGAACCAATCTATTTTAATCAAATCCAAAAATACAATTTTCTGTAGGCTGGCTATAGAACTGAAAACAGAAAAAGCAGTTTTATAAATGGTATCACTGGTTACAATGCATGCAGAAGCTAAACTGAATACAAGTAATATCAATTAAAAGAGAAGTCAGCCTGAACTATGTAATGTGCCTATTCATTTGAAGTGGGTGGGATGGGTGAGGTGGGATGGGGGGAAGGCTCATCTGAAACATTTCAAGAGCGAGAAAATGAACTAGTTCTGTTTAGGTATATTTAGAAGGCAATTAAGTTAATGACATTAAAATGCAGAAAGTGTGTCTTTACCAGACAGACCGACTACAGGTTTCAAGTAAACGAGCAGATGGCTCAAATTTAGAATATTAGATAGATGGCAGCCATTACAGCACACTAATATAAACAAAGACTTCAATTTCCTACAAATTTGTAACCATCACCTGATCTTCTCAATCTTTTCTAGGGCCAAATTGTTGCCACTATTAGTTCTATTAGTAATTATAGAACACCAAAGTTATTTAAATTAAGAACAAACATAGAATTGCTGGAGAAACTCAGCAGGTCAGAGTTAAATTTCAAGTCCAGTGACTCTTTATCAGAACTCTTCCACAGACCTGCAGAGTTTCTCCAGCAATTTCTGTGTTTGTTTCTGATCTCCAGCATCTGCTCTTCTCTGTTTTATTTAAATTAGGTTTGCTATGAAAGTTAACTATGGAAGGGGAAGAGCAGTAGGACTTTGTACAATAATGAGTGGGATCAAGACAACCTACAAATCCATTGGGTGCTTCTGTTTCTCAGCATATATATTTTAAAATATATTGGTAAAATAACTTGTTACCGACAAAAAAGAGTGGCAGATACTGTCATTTTCATGAGACTTGAGGCAGGTAATGAGTCATCATTAAATACGACTGCTGCTCTTACAATTTATTGTATAGGTAAAAAGAATGAAGCTTTGATTGACTGATTGTAAAGTCAGTAAAGGCAACAAACGAAAAGTCTCTTCAATAAGTAAATTTTACGTGAAAATGTTATAGGGTAAATGGAGAATGGTGGTGGGGAACAAGGGTTCAATCAATTTGTTGCTGTAACTTAGGGGCAATTGATGAAATATACCTTTAACAGAACCATTATTCAGCCAATCTTTTGTAAAGTTATGCTGGAAAATCAGAAAACATTAGAAATTTTACCCCATGTAATCACCTTTACTCACAGAGCAGGTAATTTACAGCATAATGTAATAGTGATACTTTTGTCATTGACGTTCAATGTGAAAGTGTTCAAATACCATCATTAAAATTTAAAATTATATTTTAAAAATCTCCTGATCCAAAAACTTACAGCAATTGGAAATGAAAAGTAGAATTGAATGAAGGCTTGAGTGAACACTACAAAGTCAGAAGGCCTTGCATAACTTTACCCTGTTTAGTTCGACCTATAATGCATTGTGATCATTTTTGTATTCTGGTGTTCACAGCCTTATCATAGAATCCCTACAGTGCAGAAGCAGTCTGCACCAAACCTTCGAAGAACGACCCATCCAGATTGACAATGAGGAGCTTTTATTTTCCACACCAACTTGTAATGCTCTGGAATAAACTGCCTGAAAGGATCCAACAATAACTTCCAAAAGACAACTGAATAAATACCTGAAGGGGGAGAAACTACAGGACTTTGGAGAACTGGAAGATGAGTGGGATTAATTGAGTAGTTTTAGCAGTGAAGTTTCTTATATCACAGTGTGCCTGCCCAATTGAACACCCTGTATATTTGCAATGTAACAATGTCGAACATCCAACAGGTCATTTTTTAGTGGTGGAATCTTTCTAGATTAGACAGATTCAACAGTGATAGTCACTTTATGCACTTTTATCCACCTACCTAGTCCAATATCTCACTTGACACTTTTCACAGACTTCTTTAAATCATTGTGGAACTGTACAAAATCGAAACATTAATTTTTTTCTTTGAGCAAGTGAGCCATTAGAGAGTATTGTGTTCAGCAGTCGTATCTGTACATTTATCTCTGAGTTAGGTGTTTCAACTATCACAGAATAATTATGACATGAGCTAATGTTAAGGCTGACTCCTCTATAATTTAGACTAGGCATCAGCTCTACTCAGTCCCACAATCTCAAATTTACACAGCCAAGTTGCTTGGTAAACTGTCCTACTCAGTAGAACGTGTTGTCAGTCCTAGGTACTGCCTCAGAAATTTGCTATATCTCTTCTGATTGGTCTGTCTGTTCAAATTGCTCCAGTTCCTAACTGATTTTCTGACTCCCATGAAGCCTCCATATCTTTTCTGGAAACTTCTGTTGCCCTCTGCAACTTCTCTGATATGATGTTTCCTCTCTGTCTCTTGTTGACTGTTGTCCATCTCAAATATGGTCTCAGCCCCATCATCATAGACGTGCTTCACACTGCCATTGGGCCACATGGTCTTCATGGTTTGAAGAAAGCCCCAAGTGTTTGCCGAGTTGATTCTACTATTGCTTCCAGCATTACCAAAAGACAGGCTTCTGGTTTGAGATGTACTTACACCTACAGGTGATGCTGAGGCAATTTTTCTGCATTCTTCCCAAACGACAGAGGATATAACTTTCCCTTTGCACTGTAGAATACAGACCTAAAACAACAGGACAAGTTACTCAGTGATTGAATGTACCTCCGATTCCTTTAAATTAATAATTTGATTATATCAATCTACAAGTTTTTGCATTCTTATATAGGGATGGGTGTAGACCATTATCAAATTAGATCATGACCTTACCCTGAATTCACGCCTTTGCTTTATATCCTTCACCACCCCCCGTTTTACCCAACAATAATCGAACAACAAAACAGAAAATGCAGCATAAACTCAGCAGGTCTGGCAGCATTTGTGGAGATACAAAGGATTACCATTTCAAATCCTATTACAACTTCTTCAGATAGGAAATATCCTAGCAGTATTAATCTTGAAAGATCTAATTGATCCTAGCATCTGGTGCCTTTTGGGAAAGATTTCCAGATTTGCATTAACCATTGTTTGAAGAAGTGCTTTCTAATTTCACTTATGAACAGTTTAACCCAACATTAAAATTGTTTCCTTGCTCTGGATTCCCCAAATAGAGGGAATGGTTTCCTCAGTGTGCCCTATTGAATAATTTTATAATTTAAACCCCAAAATCAGATAAACCCCTTAACAATCAAAATTCAAGGGCATCTAAATCAAGTTTTTATAATCTATTATAATTTAGTCCTGGAAGTTTAGTATGATTCCAGTAAATATGAAACCCAAGGAGCGGCATTCTCAACTGAATAGTTCTTCAGATGAGGACAATCAAAGCTTTGTACAGATCACATATAGTTCTGGTGTTTGTTGTGACCATGGAGCTCATTACTAATTACATGATAGTGAACAGTTCCAGAAATGACACTGATGCAACTGATCATACTCCCACTAAATCAATCCATCGACTGTCTGAAGGAGTCAAGTGCCACACTTTTCATCCTGAACCTAAAGTCCTGTAATTCGGTCCTGCACTCCCACCTTCCCGCCAGTGGTTGGTGCTAGTGTACTTTGTACAGCCCATACTTGTTAACGTATTCTGAAAGGCTTACTCTATGGCAGCTGTGTGCTTTGTCTGTTAATGAAATTTCTCTGTCCACCATGAGTCCCTATGTATCTTCCCTTTACACCTCGTTGGTCTGTATCAAGCTCAAAGAAAACAATTTCCCCTTATCTAATCTCACTAACCTTACAATTCGTTACACAATGGATTACAGATCAGATAATACCGTGAGAGACAACCAGTGACAAAACTCAGTAAATACAGATTAAAATAGGCATGCAAGACGGACACAAAGACTCACCAGTACATTGAAGTGTTGACGCTGATAGAAGAGTTTGTGACAGGTGAGGCACTCAGCCACACAATCTCCCTGTGAACAAGGAACCAAATAAAAGAGCAGTACTAGAGATAGGAGACAGGTCTTCATATTGATTCAAATAGGATGGGCTGAAAAAGAAAAAAGTATGTTAAACATTCAGCTGAAATATCGGTTTCATTTAGTTGCTCTTCAGACATATTAATAACATAGTATATAACTGAAATTCAATGAGGTCTCTTGTGGTGCAATGGTAGTTGCCCTACTTCTGGGCCAGAAGGCCTGGATACAGGTCCTATCTGGTCCGGAGGTGTGTAGTAACATCTGTGAATAAATTGATTAGAAAATATCAATAACTGAAATTCAGACGTGATCTTGTGGCACAGTGGTAGTGTCCCTACCTCTGGGCCAGAATACCTAAATTCAAGTTCGACCTGCTCTAGAGGTGTGTCATATCATGTCTGAATAGGTTGATTTAAAATATCTATCACTGAAACACAGATTTCGAATAAATAAAACACTGAACTAATATATAAACGGCAAGTACTGGAGAAATTCAACATGTCTGCCAGCATCCATGAAAAGGAAAAACAGAGTTAATGTTTTGAGTTCAATATGACACTTCTTCAGAAGTCTCAATTATAGCATATATGGAACAACTAAAATACTAACCCCTCTAAAACTAACAGATCCAGAATAATTAAAACACAGCTTTCAATAAGTGACTGCAACAGAACAGTCCATGTCACCTTCCAATTTTTCTGATCCGAATCTGTCATAATCATTCTTCTTATGCTTGTCCATTTTCCCCTGAAATGCAAAAATATATACCAAACACTCCTTGAGTCAGAGTTCTACATTTTAGCACTGTTTAGGTGAAGACATTTCTTCTGAACTCTCTATCAATTTCTTGGTGACAATCTTACGTTGCTACCTCTAGTTCTGTTCTCCACCCTAACAAAACTTTTCATAATATTAAAGACATTTAATAGATCGTCCCTCAGAATGTTTTTCAAGAGAAAAGCAACCCACATTGTCAATTCTTTCCTGCTATGCACTTATACTTTTCTAGTATCATTCTTGTAAATCTTCTCTGCACCCTCTCCAAGGCCTCTATACGCTTTCTTTAATTTAATAATTAGAACTGTACGCAGTATTCTGACTCACAGTTTCACAACAATAAAGAGCCTCTCCATTATGGTAAAAATGGCAGAGTGGCTGAAACTCTTTAGTCCTGCACCCAAACATGGCACTTGTGCATTTCGTGCATAATCATTCTATGGAGGCAACTGACTGTTTAAATCACCAGCTGCCTATGGAAGTGGGATTTTGTTAGCCATTGAAAATGAAACCCAAAGTATAAAGTTTAGATCTAGTGAGAGCTGATCTGAACTTTGTGCATTTATTTGGATAGCCACCGTGTCCCTTGGAATCTGATGCCAAGATGCCTTTGGAGGAGGTCTGGCATGCTTAAGAATTGCTTAAAGTGGTCATAAATGTGCATAAATTCACTAACTGCCAAAACCCGTTAGAAGCACCTGTCAAAACTATCATAGAACCCTTGTAGTGCAGAAAGAGGCCATTCAGCCCATCGTGTCTGCACTAACCCTCTGAAGAGTAACCCCCATCACCACAACCCAGCACTTACCATGGCTAATCCACTTAGTCTGTACATCACTGGACACTATAGGCAATTTAGTATAGCTAGTCCACCTAACCTGCATATCTTTGGACTGTGGGAGGAAACCAGAGGAAATCCACACAAACAAAGGGAGATCATGCAAATTCCATACAGACAGTTATCCAAGGCTGGAATCAAACCCAGGTCCCTGGCATTGTGAAACAGCAGTGCTAATCACTATGCCACCATACCGCCCCAGACCTGTCAGAAGAGTGGTGGCAGGGTAATAGGCTGGCAGTAATTTGACAAAGATGCTATAATATTATACAGTGGTGTTGCGCCAGGCCATGCCTTCCACACAGTCCACCTCAGCAGCAGCTTCCATTCTCATCTGCAGTTACCTCCCAAGTTTCGAATAACTTCCATACTTTTGAAATCCAACCCTCCAAAAATAAAGCCGAGTGCTCGTTTTTGTGTTTTTGTTTAAATGGCTTTGCAAACCTGTGGCTAAGCTTTTAAACGATTGATGCGTTTGTACTTCAAAATCCCTTTGTTCCTCTATCCCAAGTAGATTTACACCTTCCAAGTAATTAGTGACCTCCCCTTCTTTGTGACAATATATACTGTGACATATTTATGTGTTGAACTTCGTTTGCATATTATTTGCCCTTTCCGCAAGTCTATTAATGTCTTGCTGTAATTTGTTGCAGCGTTTTGCAGTATGAAGCAATAAAATATTGAACTTTCTGTAACTAACAGACATAGAATGAATTAAGCTTCCAGCTTTCTGAGACTGGCAGACACAAAGCAAATACACACTGATCCTTCAAGAACTGAAAGATATGGAACAAATAAAACACCCATTTGCAACACACAAATCACTGAATTTCCTGTAACCGAATCACTGAATTAGAACACATAATATATTGACATTTATACAATTTAAATAGATTAAATTAATAAAACATTGTGCATTTAACATCTGAAACACATACAGAACAAATAAAACACTGCACTTTCTACAAATGTATTTGTACGTAGTTAGGATCACCAGGTTAGGAAAGTGGACAAATGCATGAATAAGTTATGTGGGAAAGAAGAAATGTATTTTTGGACTCTGGGACAGGTAGAAAGAGTAAGTTTGTCTGTCACAAGTACTTTTAAATAGTAAATATCTGGAGAATTTAGGTGGAAAGTTAAATAATGTCAAAAATAAAAGGAAGAAAGTAACAGACAGAAATTGTGTATTAGGCACTACAAATTAAAGGAAATCCAAAAGATGTAAAAAAACACGGCAGGTAAAAGAAATAAGGAATTTATGAGTAAAATATGAGAGTAGGAGGACTAGTTATGATGTGTCACATAGGTAAATTTTCTTTGTATAAATGCAGAAATGAGAAGATAAATAGAACAACCTGCAGATGCAAACTTAACTTGAATCATAGACATAGTGGCCATTACTGAGACATGAGCTGCAAGGTGGTCAGTACTGGGAACTAAATGTTCTAGTTTATATAATCTTCAGTAAAATTAGGGAAAGTGTCAGTTGGGGAGGAGCAGCTTTAAAGATTAGGAATGAAATTGTTTCGATGATAAGAGTTTATAATGAGAGGAAAGAACAGATTTCAAATATACAATTAAGAAATAGAAATGGATTTAATATTATAGTGAGATCTGTGGGACCTTCACCCAATAGCACCAGTGATGTGGTAGTGGAACAAGTGGAATTTGAACCACATCTCCATGTTCAGAGATAGGAACATTTTCATTGCACCTCAACAGGCCCCTTTGTTCCTCAGGGTCTTTTCTAGATTCAGCTGTCTACAGCTGCTTCATCAATGTCTTTCCTTCCACTTGCCACCACACCCCCAACACTCCCATCATAAGGTCAGAAAGGGGATGTTCACTGATTATTGCACAATGTTCAGTACCTTTCATGACTCTTCAGATGCTGAAGCAATCCATGTTCAAATGATATTGTCCAACAAAACGTACTGCCAACCTGGACAACTAGGCTTGGGCTGATAGCTGACAAGTAATATTCACAAGTGGCAGACAAATACCATATCCAACTTGGGAGAATCTGATCATTGATATCGAATGGCATTCCCATTGCTGAATTCCCTCATTATCAACATCTTAGAAAATTGAACTAGACATTTAAGTACAGAAGTTACAAAAGCAGGTCAAAATGTAGGAATCCTGCAGTGAGTAACTAACCTTCAGACTCCCTAAAATCTGTCCACCATCTGAAAGTCACTAGTGAGGAGTGTGATGAAATACTGTCCATTTGTCTGGATAAGTTGGATGAGCTCCAACACTATGCAAGAAGCCTGACACTGTCCAGGTCATTTATAAACATCAGAGCCTCAAACGTCCATTCCTTCCATCACTGATGCGCATTTGCAGCAGTATGTACCATCTGCAAAATGAATTTCAGAATGTCTCCAAGACTCCTTTGCCAGCACCTTCCTAAACTGTAACCACAACCATCTAGAAGTACAAGGGCAGCAGATACTAATGACTACCAGCACCTGCAAGTTCCCCTCCAAGTCACTCACCTCCGTGACTTGGAAACATATCATTGTTCCTTTGGTGTTGCTGAGTCAAAATCCTGGAATTCCTTCCCTAACAGCATTTTGTTTGTCCCTACACCAGGTGGCCTATAGCATTCAAGAAGACAGCTCACCTGTATCTTCTCAAGGGCCATCAGAGATGGGAAATAAATGCTGGTTCTGCCAGTGGAGCCCACATGTAATGAATGAAAAAAGAAAACTGGACACTTTAGTCCATGGGTAAAACAAATTGAAGATCAGTGTAATGTTCAAAAAATAATTTAACGTGATATAAAATCAATTGAAATAGTAAATTGTGATAGTAAGAACTACATAAAGGAAATGTGAAAAGAAGCTTGAAATGAGTATTGAAATTGCACTGTGCTTTTGGTGAAAAGCCATCTATCTTATCTTGAGATGATGGACCTTTTAAAAACTAGGATCCAATTTCCGATTTTAAAAAAAAAGTTCCAATTATCCTATGACCAGGTTGCCTGAGAGATACATAACAGAAAACAATTGTGAAAAATAGGTGGATTTTTTTCTACAGCAAGTTGGAGAGAAGAAAACATCTCAGCACACTTTCACTAAAATTTTGAGTATTGGCTAAAAAATTAGTTCTAACTTTTATTAACTGAAGGAGTTTGCTAACAATGAGTTGAATTTCTGGTGCAGGTAAACTGAGGAGAGAGAGACACACAAGTTTATATACAAAACCTTAGCATGCTTGAAGGAGATTTGATGAGCCAATTTATTGTAAATAAATAGAAGGCTCAAAAAAATCTCAACAAATATACAAATCATTGACACAGTACCCAGAACAAGTGGTTTATATTCCAGGTTTTAATAAGATCTGACTTGATGATTTTAGGGTGTAAGTCTGATGAAGATAGAAGGAAAGTGGAGTTAAGTTGTTAAATTTAGAATTGTCATAGAATCTTAGAGTCATACAGCA